GGGTCCAGGGCACCCATGGGTGCTCCCCGTTGGGTGGTGGCATCTCAGGGGCTTCCAGATCTTCTCTCCAGCGCCTCCCCATGACTTCAGGTTGCTCCCAGTTGGGTGGAGGCATCTCCAGGGCTCCATAACCACCTCCAAACCCCCTCTCCACGGCTGTTGGTTGCTCCCAGTTGGGTGGAGGCATCTCAAGGGCTTCCGTATCTCCTCTCCACTGCCTCCCCTTGAGTCCTGGTGTCTTCCAGTTGAGTGGAGGCATCTCCAGGGCTCCATAACTACCTCCAACCCCCCCACCCAGGGCTCCAGAGCACCCAGGGGTCCTCCCAGTTGGATGAAGGCATCTCAAGGGCTTCCGTATCTCCTCTCCACTGCCTCCCCTTGAGTCCTGGTGTCTTCCAGTTGAGTGGAGGCATCTCCAGGGCTCCATAACTACCTCCAACCCCCCCACCCAGGGCTCCAGAGCACCCAGGGGTCCTCCCAGTTGGATGAAGGCATCTCAAGGGCTTCCGTATCTCCTCCCCACCACCTCCCCTTGAGTCCTGCTGTCTTCCAGTTGGGTGTAGACATCTCTAGGGCTCCACAACTACCTCCAAACCCCCTCTTACCCCCTCCTACCCCCCAACCCAAGAGTCCAGAGCACCCATGGGTGCCCCTCCACTCTAGTTGAGGAAGCGTCGGCAGCGCTTCCACTGCCTCCCCTTGAGTCCTGGTGTCTTCCAGTTGAGTGGAGGCATCTCCAGGGCTCCATAACTACCTCCAACCCCCCCACCCAGGGCTCCAGAGCACCCAGGGGTCCTCCCAGTTGGATGAAGGCATCTCAAGGGCTTCCGTATCTCCTCCCCACCACCTCCCCTTGAGTCCTGCTGTCTTCCAGTTGGGTGTAGACATCTCTAGGGCTCCACAACTACCTCCAAACCCCCTCTTACCCCCTCCTACCCCCCAACCCAAGAGTCCAGAGCACCCATGGGTGCCCCTCCACTCTAGTTGAGGAAGCGTCGGCAGCGCTTGGCCCCGCAGTTGCAGGGCAGTTTGGCGGCGGGTTCCTCGATGGGGAACTTGTAGTCGTAGGTGAGCTCCTCCCCCCGCAGGATGCGGCGCAGGGCGAAGATGACGATGCGCTTGTGGCCTTCCACGTGGATGACGCGGGAGTAGCAGTTGGGCTCGCAGGAGTGGTTGATGAAGCGGGCGGCGCTGCCGTGCATGGTGGCGTCCACCACCTCCGCCTCGTCGATGCGGAACATGTAGCAGCCGATGCCCTGGGGTGGGGTGGGGTGGGGTGGAGAAGACCGAAAAAGAAAGGGAGGTGAGATTGGGTGGTTGGTGGTGGTGGGGAATGGTCTCCGTGGGGTGGGGAGGTGAAGGGGGGGAGGGCATCATTGGGGTGGGGACACCATGATGGGACGTCAGGATGGGATGGAGACACCACCAGGGGATGTCATCATGGGATGGGGACACCACCAGGGACATCCTGATGGGATGTAGACACCACCAGGGGATGGAGACACCATGAAGGGACATCATCATGGGATGGGGACACCATGAAGGGACATCATGAAGGGATGGGGACACCATGATGGGATGGGGACACCATGAAGAAACATCATGATGGGATGGGGACACCATCATGAGATGGGGACACCATCATGGGTTGAGGACATCGTGATGCGGTGGGGACACCATGAAGGAACATCATGATGGGATGGGGACACCATGATGGGACGTCATCATGGGATGGGGACACCATGATGGGGTGGGGACACCATGAAGACATGTCATGATGGGATGGGGACACCATGATGGGACGTCATCATGGGATGGGGGCACCATCAAGGAACATCATGATGGGATGGGGACACCATGAAGGGATGGAGACACCATGAAGGGACATCCTGATGGGATGGGGACACCATGAAGGGATGGAGACACCATCAAGGGATGGGGACACCATGATGGGATGGGGACACCATGATGGGATGACACCATGGGATGGAGACACCATCAAGGGACGTCATCATGGGATGGGGACACCATCAGGGGATGAGGACACCATCATGGGATGGAGACACCATGAAGGGACGTCAGGATGGGATGAGGACACCATCAAGGGATGGGGACACCATGAGGGGACATCATCATGGGATGGGGTCACCACCAGGGGATGGGGACACCATGAAGGGACGTCAGGATGGGATGTGGACACCATCATGGGACATCATGATGGGGTGGGGACACCATGAAGACACGTCATGATGGGATGGGGACACCATGATGGGATGACATCATGGGATGGGGACACCATCAAGGGACATCCTGATGGGATGGGGACACCATGAAGGGATGGAGACACCATGATGGGACGTCAGGATGGGATGGGGACACCATGAAGACACGTCATGATGGGATGGGGACACCATCAAGGGACACCATGATGGGATGGGGACACCATCAAGGGATGTCATCATGGGATGGGGACACCATGAAGGGACACCCCGATGGGATGGGGACATGAAGCACCCGATGCCCCAGGAGATGGGGACACGATCCCTGAGCAGATGATGCCCCACGTCCCCATGGGGTCTCCACGTCCCCAGGGACCACCAGGGGTGACCCCAGTGTGTCCACAAGGTGCCCCTGAGATCCCACCTCCCTCTTGACCTTCTCCCGATCCTCAACGAGCCCCAGGAGGATCCCACCCCACGTCCCCATGGGGTCTCCACGTCCCCAGGGGCCACCGGGGGTGACCCCAGTGTGTCCCTAAAGTGTCCTCAAGGTGTCCCCGAGGTGTCCTCAAAGTCCCTGAGATCCCACCTCCCTCTTGACCTTCTCCCAATCCTCAGCGAGCCCCAGGGGGATCCCACCCCACGTCCCCATGGGGTCTCCACGTCCCCAGGGGCCACCGGGGGTGACCCCAGTGTGTCCCTAAAGTGTCCTCAAGGTGTCCCCGAGGTGTCCTCAAAGTCCCCGAGATCCCACCTCCCTCTTGATCTTCTC